GAGGAGGAGATTGATTACTCTCCTCTACCCTATGAATCTACGGATAGGGGGGGTATGATTTGTATCGTATCGTAAATTTCGTAATGGGATGGGCGTGGGAAACAGAAACAGAGTTGGCCGTTGAGGTAAGAGGATCAAGAGGATGAATAATAATCAGCTAGCATCGCATCATCCCTGGAGGGTGCACACAGCTAGAGTAGTACTCTGCTCTAGCCTGTAGATACTTCTTGTGGGGCAGCTGTGTTCAGGGGACTTCTTCTCTTCTCTTGGTCGCTCTTGGTTGAGGGCCCTGAGTGCCAAGGCTACACCCCGCCAGCCAGCCAGGCTAACCCAACACATCTGCATCTCCCCCCCCCGCTGACATCACTTGCATCTCCAATCATTGACACCCCATCAAAAACGTCTGTCAATCTACAGCAGCAGCAGCAGCAGATAAGATAAAGCCTACAATTCAATATATTCACACACCCCTCCCTCCCCTCCAGATGAGCTCGACGCCCCTCCGCTTCCCGGGCCCAAACCGCTTCAGGTCCGAGAAAGAGAAAGACCAGACGCCCGAGGCCAAAGACCGTGTCGTCCAGCAGACAGACCAAGATGCAAGCCAGTCCCGCCTCAGCGCCGTAGAGACCGGATATCTCGTCGACCCGTTTGCGAGAGCATTCGTCGAGGGGCCCGTCCAGAAGAAACTGCCGCTCATCAATCGAGGTTCGCCGGACTCTATAATCCTCCCCAAGAAGAAATCTAACAAACATACGCTCTATAGGAACCTACGTGCGCACCACCGCAATCGACCAGCTCGTCACCCGCTTCCTCACCTCCACCCCCTCCAGGAAACAAATCATCTCCCTCGGCGCCGGCTCCGACACACGCTACCTCCGCCTCCTCACCACCCACCGCGCCGCCGCCGCATCCCTCCTCTACCACGAAATCGACTTCTCCGCCGTCACCTCGCGCAAGATCCGCGCCCTCACCCGCGGCGCCCCCTCCTCCCCCTCCTCCCCCTCCTCACTGGTGTCGGAGCTGCTCCTATCACCCCCGACGGCACTGACAGACGACGCGCTGGCGTCGGCGCACTACTACATCCACCCGCTCGACCTCCGCACGCTGCACCCCGGCTGCGCGCTCCCCGCGGGCGTGGAGCGCGGCTTGCCAACACTCTTCATCTCAGAGTGCTGTCTGATCTACCTCGCGCCACAGGAAGCGGACGCCATCGTGCGCTGGATCACGACCGACTTTTCCGGCGACGTGGGCGTGGTGCTGTACGAGCCGATTGGCGGCGAGGATGCGTTTGGGCAGGTGATGGTGCAGAACCTTGCTGCGCGCGGGATCGTGCTCAAGACGCTGAAGAAGTACTCGAGCCTTGAGCGGCAGCGGGAGCGGCTGCGGGTTCTGGGCCTGGTGGGCGGGCAGGAGGCGGCGGATGTGGACTTTCTGTATGAGTGTTGGGTGGGCGAGCGGGAGAGGGGCCGGATTGGCGGGTTGGAGATGCTGGATGAGATGGAGGAGTGGAGGTTGTTGGCGAGGCATTATTGTGTGGTTTGGGGGTGGAGGGGGGGGTTTGGCGGGTGGGAGGGGGCGTGGCCGGTGCAGGGGGGGAGTAGGGTGTAGTGGGGGGTGGGTGGGTGTGGCTTTTTTTCTTTCTTTTTTTCTTGTTTCTTGTGCTTTTGGTGTGTTGGAGTTGGTGGGCTATGGGGTTTGCATTTTCCTACTTCTTTTACTTTTCTTCTTCTTCTACTTCTTCACTTTCTCGCGCTCCTGTAGCTGGGTTGCATTGTGTGTACTGCGGTACTCATCATATACAGGTGAGACATTGGCCAGTTTTCCTCCTTGGGATCTTTTCTTTCTCCCAGATGTATATTATACACATACAGTCAAGTCGACTCTCCCTCGGAGCAGAAGTACAGGCGGGGGTGCATGTAACCTTAAATGAAATCATGGACCATCACTCGCAATTCCTCCCTGTATGCATTCGCCCAACAAACCCAACTACCCCCGTCGGTGTGGTATGTGAACTCATATCCTGGTACGGTTATACATGGTGGTTGTAGGGTTAACTGAGGAAAAAACCACAGCAAAGACCTCCCGCCCTCTAAAGGTGTTACTATATAGCATCTACCGGGCTGTTTTTTTCTCTCTTTCTCTTCTCTCGCTTCTAATCCTGATTTACTGCTTTGCGGGATCCGGGCGGAAACGACGAGAGCTCGTTCGAGCCTGAGTCGAACCTTTTCGATCAGTCGCGGTCAGAAGAAGGCGATGCCGCGCGCGCGAGGAAGCGAGGAAGCGAGAATGTGGGCGTCTGTGGTCCAAGTACGCCCATGTATGCAGCTTTGTGATGGTTAACGATATAACCCGTCTCTTGTTGGGTTCAGCAGCTGTACCTTGTGGTTTCTCGTGTACTGGTAGCTTATATATAAATACATGTAGTTAGTGCGGTAGAGAAAGAAAAGTGTGCAATTCGTGTTGATAGTTAGAACGAGTGATAATCCATGATCAAACCCAATCCAATTCGAGGTCGAATTAATGGTCGACGTGATTGTGCTATGAGTTGAGAACGCTTTCTGGGCCTAGTGTTACAAACTTAGAAACCGGACTTTTTACCGCGGGAACGGGTTAACCCAATGTAGAAACCATTCTGGCTTCGAGCCACCCTACCATTGAAGCTACTACATGTAGTAGCTTAAAAACAAGAGCCGACCCGTCCACACACCACACAGTCAAAAGCACCAAAGAAATCATAGTCAGCATAGGGGTGGTTGAATGGTCTAGCGGTATAGGGGTCTTGCCCTATACAAAAAGCTACGATCGTTCGACCCCCCCTCCGGACGTAGAGTAGGAGATGTAGCAGCAATAGGCTGTGAACTCTTTTGCTGGCGGGACAGAATATATTTTCTTTTCCCTTTTGATTTTGAAAGATTCTTCTTGAGGGGGGTTAAGACGAAGTTTTTTCTTCTTCCTGCTGCGCCTTTACTATTTACTTGCTTGGTTGGCTACAAATAAACAAGTGAATTAATGGCCCAGTGTACTTGTACGGATATGGGCCAGTATGTATACTTATGTGTGTAATCACATGTACATACTGTGGTAGTGCACGTGGAAGCTCGAGGACAGCTGCGAATAGGGAGCTCCCCTAGTGGTACAAGTTAGTAGGCAATCTACTTTCTCGACTACAGATTAGGCACATGTAGGATACGTATCTTTTTTTTTTTTTACATCAGAAGGGTAGAAGAAAAATATTTTGACCCGCCAGCAAAAGAGTTCACAGCCTATTGCTGCTACATCTCCTACTCTACGTCCGGAGGGGGGTCGAACGATCGTAGCTTTTTGTATAGGGCAAGACCCCTATACCTCTAGACCATTCAACCACCCCTATGATGGCTATGGTTTCGTTGGTGCTTTTGGCTGTGTGTTGGAAAGTCGGCTCTCACTTTACGCTAGCTTGTCAATGTTGCATGGAAGTGGCTCTGAGATGGGGTGGCTCCCACACTGGTCCCGCACCCGTCCCGTACATTGTACGTAGCAGCGAGCCTACCCCTGCACCAACGTTAGGTGGTGTACCTGCTGGAAATCTTTTGGTTATGAGTTCTCTCTACACAACTTCGGCCAGGCCTTTTTCAAAAGGTTAGTAACCTGCATGTACCTGTAGCTGCCCCCAACACCAGGAACGAGAGCACAAAAACACAGCCCCGCAGCATTAATTTTCCCTGCCTAGCCAAGCTAGAACACCTAGTCGAGAAACTGCCCCCCCCCCCCCCCCCCTACGCCCCCTCCGGTCCGCGAGTGATTTACTATGATGAATGATAAAAATTAAGTTTACATGTTAAAGTGATTAATTTTAAAGCATTAATGAGGCATATAAACTTAGGTGAAGCGCCTTAAGCTCCGGAAATCTTTGATCTTTACTGCATACGTACAACTTGAAGTATCCATCCAAAAGTCCGTTCCATAAATGCTGCGGCATACAGTACTTGCAAAGTATTGCAGCTCACGCTCTGAGGTAGAGCGAATCAAGATGGTTTGCACGGTTTCTCCATAGTCGCAATCGGAGGCTTTAAGCAGGGCGAGAGGCCGGGGAGGGGAGTGGAGGGCTTGCAATACATCTTTGGAGAATTGATACGTGAGCTGTGGATCAGAGACATGAGATTCGATTGCCTACGGAGTGCCCGGAATAGAAGCAGTTTATGCAGTCTATACTATATACATGTACGTACCTACATGTACTTGTAGTTATGGGATTGTTGCATGTTGTCATTATGATAGGTGGCTACTAGTGACAACTCTCTTAAGCTTCTCAGATCATCAATACATGTCTTATTTGCTACACTTACACACATTTTCCTGCATACGTACAAGATTTGATTTTCTTTGATCTTCTTGAGAGAATAAGTACTTAACCGTTTATGAGACCTCTTTCAAGCAAGGTATTGGTGCCTACATATTAGTTCGACTGATATACATAATTAACGGATTATGCTGACTATGACTAAGGAAGATCTCAGTAGCTGTCCGAGAGCTCGGTTGAGTGCTATCCTTCCTATGTACTCGGGCTCTACATATTTGCTACCCTTTTGTTTCGTTCCTCTCTCTTCTTAAGTTCGGCGTTCTATACTCGCCCAGCCTGTTTATTCTTACCTCCCTTAGACACTGAAGCAAAGCGGTTGTCGCCCACCGGATCTCGTCCAGCACCAACGGTCTGTTGCAGATCTCTACAATCCCTGTCACCACCGATCCCAAAACAAACAAAAGTTCCTTGGCGCTACCTACAACAACGCGACATCTCACTTCCCTCACCCACGAACCCTCGAGACAAGACAACAAAGAGGACCACCACCAGCACCACAATCAACATCACCACCAACCACCACAACCCCAAGCAGCGGGGCCACCAATTGACATTACAGAAAACCCCACACCCCCTAACACGCCCCCCCCCCCCCCCCAAACTCCCCAGAAACACCTCGACCATCCATCTCGAGACCCCCAGATCTCGAGAACCCACCACAATGTCCGGCATGAACATCTACAGCAAACGCCTCAACTCCTTCCGCCCCAAGCGGCGGCCCTCTTCAGCCTCCACCAACAAGCCCCCACCCATAAAATGGCCGCACGACCGTCCCGCCGCCAAGACGCTCGCCGCCGCCGGCCTCTACTACAACCCGTCCGAGGACCACCCGGACAACGTGACCTGCTACCTGTGCGCCAAGGACCTTGACGGCTGGGAGTCCGACGACGACCCGAGCGCCGAGCACGTCAAGCACTGCCCCGACTGTGGGTGGGCGCGGGTTTCCGTGACGTTGAAGGCGGAGGACCCGCGGGGCGCGCGCATGGTGCGCGCGAGGGCCGACACCTTTGGGGATTGGTGGCCGCATGAGGGGAAGCCGGGGTGGGCGCCGTCGGTGCAGAGGGTGCGTTTGTTCTTTTTGTTCGTGGTTGGGGGAGCTCGGGGCGTTGACTGACGGGTGTATCTATAGATGGCGGAGGCGGGTTGGCATTATTCACCTACTAAGGATTCGGACGATTTCGCGAGTTGTGCGTATTGCGAGCTGTCGCTGGATGGATGGGAGCCGACGGACGATCCAATGGAGGAGCATAGGCGGCGCTCGCCAGAGTGTGCGTTTTTCACTTGGACGCCCCCCAGACAGCCCACGAGGAAGACGTCGAGAGCTTCGATGCAGTCGGTGATGGCCAATTCAGACGACGAGCCAATCCCGAAACCCAAGAAGGTGCCTCGCACAAAGAAGTCCAAGAAGGCAGAGCCAGAGCCCGACAACGTATTCGAAGATGCCCCCCGCGGCCGGAAACGAACCAGCACCGCAGCTCAGCAGGGCCCTGTCGTCCTGTATGACGGGACTATCTCCACCGAAGAAGAAGTCGAACACGAACAACAGCAACCCGCACAGAAAAAACGTGCTACCCGCGCCTCTCTGGCAGCACAGCAGCTATCCCGCGACGCAAATATGAACGCCGACAGCGACAATGAATCCATCGCCTCAGTCGCCTCAAGGGTCGGGGGCAAATCAAAAGCAAAACCCAAGAAGCCCGCCGCACGCCGCAACTCGAGGGTCCGCGGTAACTCTGTTGCCCGTAAAACTAAAGCTCAGTCCGCCATTCCTTCGGATGACGAGCTTGATCGCGCACTCGCCCTGGACCTTGAGCGCCCACTTACGGACGAAGAGGAGGGGTTCAAGGACTTTAAGAAGCCATTTATCAGGCCTATGAAACGCATCACCCGCTCCCGCGCCTCCCTGGCCGTTGAGGAGAAGATGCGTAATGCGCCGCCCGATTCCATCCTCAACTCCACCGTAAAGAGAGGGCGAAGCAGGACGCCGGCTATTGCAGACGTGGAAAGAAGTCCAACGAAGAGTCCTTCAAAGAAGTTTTTCCGTGAGAGTTCGCAGGATTTCTCGATCCCTGTAAGGGTGCCGAAACATCTAGCTGTGGAGGATGACTTACTGGAAAGTCCGGAGAGGAGGAATTTGGAAGATGACTTTGCGGGCGACACTATCAAGGTCGCTGCTAGGGATATCACAGATACAGAGATGGCGATGGAAATCGAAGTTAAGCCCAAGAAAGCACCGGCCAAGAAAGCGGCGCGAGGGCGGAAGAAGAAGGACGCGGTGGAAACTGTAACTGCCACTGAAGACGAACCAGAGGCGCCAAAGCCCAAGAGAGGCAAAGCGGCCAAGAAGGCGGCTACAAGGGAAAGGGAAAGCAATATCACTGTCGACTCGGTTCAAGAGAAGATTGAACTCCAGCTCCACCAAGAGCAGGAAGAACGACCACAGAAAGGGAGAAAGAGGCTTGTTAGGGGAACAAGGCCAAAGCGAGAAAGCGTAATCTCAATCGCCAGCACCGTAGAGCCGGAGCCAGAACCGGCGCAGAGCTTTATGGACGTTGACCACCACGAAGAGGAGCCCGCTGAGGCTTCAGATGCGGGCAGCGTAATCCGCCACGATGTCGCTGACGCTTTATACCCCACACTCGCACCATCGCCCGAGCCGCAAGAAGCAGAAGTAGAAGCAGAAGTCGAAATGGAAGAAGCAGAACCCACCCCCAAGCCTACCAAAAAGACCGCAAACCCAAGGACCAAGCGCTCCACCCGCAGCAGCGCAGTCTCCACAGCTTCAACAACAATCTCATCCATCGCGGGTTCGCACCTTAACTCAGACTCCGACCACACGCCTCGCCCGAAGGGCCGCAAGCCCACAAAGAAACAGCAAGCAAGAATGCGCAAGACCAAAGACGACGCCCTCAAGAAGGGCAGCGAGAGCTTTTTCAATAGTGCCCAGAACGAAGAGATGAAAGGCCGCAAAGGCAGGCGGACCAGGAGCAGCATGACAGCTGCAGAAGCAGAGGAAGAAGACAGCGTACGGGACACCACCACAAAGGGCGGTAGCAGCAGCTCGCCGGCGTTTGTAACGCCGGGCGACGACATACACATGGCCGAAGCCGCGCACGCAACCGAAGAAGAGCCAACAGTCTCCGACAACCACAACGACGGCGACCTCTCCGCCACCGACATAGACCCACACTCCACCGCCTCTTCCCCCGCTCCGGAAACCGAAACATCCACCGAGCGCCCGCTCTCCCCGCGTGCCCCGGCACCAACACGCATGCCGCTCTCGCCCGTGCGGCGCGGCATGAACATCCCGCTCACCACTGCCGCCACGACGCCCAAAGCGCACTCCAAGGTCAGCACCGCGCTACACAGCCGGAAGCCGTGGGTTGCGGTCGACCTCGATACGGTGTTTGCGCACGGCAGCGAGGAGTCGGATGAGGGCGCGGGCGTCCTGACGGCGCGCGAGAGGGAGATGACGGTGGCCGAGTGGGTGAAATGGAATGCGGCGCAGGCGGAGGGGCGGATGAAGGGGGAGGGTGAGAGGATTGTGGCGCTGTTTGAGGCGTGTGGGAGGAGGGCGAGGGAGGCGATTGAGGCCATTGAGACGGTGGATTAGTGTGCAGAGGAGGTGGAAGGTGGGGAGGGGTGTAATTAGTAATTTTGTTTTTACTATTTTTTTTTAGTGCTTTTTTTTACTACGTTTTTTACTGCTCTTTTTTCTCCCTTTTTCTTCCCGGCTGTGGCTATGGTTGTGGTTATAGTTATAGTTGATGGTACATGGCGCGCCGATATCAGTGGGAGGTTGGTTATGTTATTAGATGCCATGCATGAATGGCCTGTTTATGGGCGAATTGTAGCCCCTGTCCCCTTCTGTTTTTCCGCCTGTAGCATATCGTAGTCTAGTCTTGCAAGCGAAAAATGAATAACTATTAGAAAGCACAATATTGCGAAACATGTGGTATTCTGAGAACGGTGGTGTTCTGCTTAACTTGAACGATACAATACAAGGCAGCGTCTTTAATACCGTGACCGCTGTGGTGGATATCGTATCTAACCCTGAATGGTTTTATCGAGCGCCAATACAGCGAGTGAGTCACGATGCATCACTCGTATATTATAGCACCTAAGGGTCCGCACTTCTTGGCAACTGGGTCTGGACTAGATTATCAGCATGGAAAATGACGGCAAGTGATTCCATGGCCCAAAAAATGGAAATCGCTTTCAAGTCTAATTTTTCAACGCTACAGTTCCGAAATACAGTTATCACCCCCCGCTTTCTCCGCTAACTTTTTATAATACACCAATACACCAACACCCCCCCTCCACACACACAACTAAACTCAAAGCCACCCAACCTTTCACCAGCCCGACCCTTTCTAACTGTAAAACGAGAAACTTGTCCGGCAAAGCGGGCACGAACTCGAGTTACTGGTCCTGAACCACTTGAGCAGACACGAAGAGTGGAACTTATTCTTGCACGTTGAGCACGCCTTGTTCGGCAGCGACCTGTCGGGCGTCACAGCCAGGATACTGTAACAGATAGCGCACTCAGCAATGCCTTGGAAGAGCAGAGAGACGTTTTTGCGGAAGAGGGTTAGTCCGTCGATGATGGATGCGCTCTTTAAGGAGAACATAGAACGTCAGCTTAGATCTTCAGAAGCGGGGGGGGGGCTAGTGTTCTTCCTACCTGGAAGTTGATGACAGCCTGCGAAGCCAGCTGCATCTTCTTGAACTGCTGTTCGCTCAAGCCAACTCTCTTAACCCCCTCCACTTCCACCTGTCGTAGTGGGAACGTAGAGGGCAGTCTGACCATCATCTCCATTGTCTGGTCATCGATCGGATAGACGGCCAGGATCTCCTTCGACGTTCCGCGCGAGATCTTGACCTGCATGCCTTCTTCTTCACCAGGCGCAGGGGCGGGCTGCTCGGCTATCCATGCGCGTATTGCTGCAAACTCTTTATCGATGATGAGTGGGGACATGTACTTTTCTGTGAAGGATTCCACCGAGAGCACCTTCTGCCGCACTTTGCAGTCGATCCACCATGATTTCGAGAGCGAGGGTGTGAAGCGAAGTGAGAGGTAGTATAGGTGGATTAGAAGCCATTGGGTGTCCTTTAAGGGGGACTCTTCCAGGTCGGGCGTGTATGACTCGATATCGAATTTGGAGGCGTCGATTGAGCGCCCCTTTGAGTGGCCAAGAAAGTCAAAGGCGAAGTCAAGCAATCCGGTAAGATAGCCGCCTTCTTTGAGGTTATCCACGTAGGCGGATCGGACTTTGAATGACTATTGTTCCTCGATCAGCAATTTGACGGCAGGGAAATCAAGGGGCTTTAATATATAGCTTACAGAATTCTCAAAATGATCAAATATCAGTATCCAGGTCAATAGATACCCTCTTAGTGTCAATGGCATCGCCCTTTCAAAATCCCAGTCCTCTACTTGATCCATTGTCGGTGGCTCCATAATCAAGCTCAATAACTCCATTGGAAGCTGAAGTGTGAAGTTATCCTCTTTTGACAAGGCGGCTTCGATGGAGACGTGTTCCTGCTGTGATGGAATATATCTATGCAACAGCTCAAATGCAGCCTCTTGAACTGGTCTTGATTTTACGTTCAAAAGTGGATAAATGTCAGTAGGATCTCCGATATATTTAAGATCCATTGACCTTGTCTGTCGGGACAAAAGAGCGTTGGATAAATTCCGGGGTTGATGTTGATCATCTGCATGTCTTGAGTTTCCTAATGTCTCCCTTAGGATAGGGTAAAGATCGGTTGTTTCCCAGGCTTCCTCAATGTCATCGTTTGCAAACCGAATTGACTTCAGGGTCTGGAATAGCTTCAGTGATGCGAAGATCAAGGGTATACAACCCTCTACCACAATAGGATTAGATATGCCCATGCCGACAAATTCACACAACGGCTGCCAATGCTCGCCATACAGCTCCTTAACTGTAGGCAGAACACTTGCAAAGGTTTTTATAGCTTCTGTGAGGACCTCTGTGTTAATTTCTGTCTCGGACTCTTCTTTTTCACTGAACCAGGAAAGAAGGTGTTTGATGAGTAGGATTGTGCGTTGCGGTGGAAGCGGAGCAACGTCTTCACCAGGTTTGGGGAGAACTGCATTCAAGAATACCAGCTTGCGAAGACCTTCCTCTTCACATTTGGATTTGGGGACGCCCATCAGATCACTTGCAAGCTCATTCCGTAGCCTATCGGCATCTTTACTATGCTCCAACAACTCGGAAAGTCCTGTGAGTATTGCAGTAATCCGAAACACATCAGTGCCTCTTCTTACATCACACAGTTTCAACCAAGTTTGTGTTTGCTCCAATGTGACTTTATGATGATCTGCGAGGCCTCCAATTACCCCGGTTAAAGCCCTTGCCGAGTAAAAGGCTGACGTGCTCGCGGGCTGCTCCATGGAGCCCTCCATGAGGCGCTCAATTACCAATGATAGATATCCCGCCGGATCATCCTGTTCAAAACAACTTGCAATGAAATGTTGGATATCAGAAACAAACTCTAGAGCCTCCTGTTCAACTTCTGGCAAGTTTCCGGTCCAGAGATAATTGGCTCCAGCAATGGCGACATTATCCTTGGCCAACTCCAAGGTCAACGCAAGGTAGTAAAACAGCGTTGTCCGTGAATCATCCGAGATCTGAGAGAACACATCGCCCTGACTTCTGTTGAACGAGCCCATCGCTTTGAGAAACTCGATTATAAATATTCCCATCCTCATTGCAGCCGAAACACCTTGTCGGTCCCGAACAATGGGAGTGGAGGCTGGGGCCTTTTGCTTGTCAGCAAAGAAAATTGCTCCACCGATCGGGTTTGTAATAGCCAACGACATCTTCATCGCGCCCACCAAAAACGAGCCCAGCTCACGTTTCCAGAGCTCTGGTGTAAACAGCAGCTTTTCTACAAGCGTCACCTTTTCGTCCGCTGGAGCTCGATCTATTAAGGCCTTTGCCTTATCCGCAAGGGCATGCAGTGAAAGCTCTACATCTCTAGGTTCCCTGACACTCTTCGAAATGATGTCCACCACACTACCCACAACCTCCGCTTGGTCCTTCGTATTGCTAGCTGCGAGCCCTGCTTCAATAACTTTGTAGATACTTTTCGCCGCATCTGAAACCTCGCTCTCAGGTGATTCTATGAGTACTAGCAATCGGTATAACATATCTGCACCATCCTTCGATGTTGCAAAGTTCACCAATACTTGTGGGTTCTGTTTGGCAACAGTTGCAAGATGCTTGCACACAGATGATGAGTTCCGTCCCTCCTGCAGCGACAATCCATCACTAAGCATCACAAGCATTTCCATAATCTTACCCTCCGACAATACCGATGAGCCGAATGATGATTTCATCATCTCCCATCCTGCAGCTTCATCAGTTTCTAAACTAGCTTCTAATTTCCGGTTCACATAATGTTCTAGTTCTGCCACTGGTGGAACTCTGTTTTGTAGTGAAGTTGGGGTTGATTGTAAGAGTTGGATTATACGGGCTTCCTTGGTTTCTTTCGAAAGAGTGGAAAGAAGAATGGAACGGATTGATTTCTTCCAGGCTGTTTCGAAGGGGGCGAAATCGGGCGTGTGTGTACCATATGCTATGAGGGCTGACAGGATATGTGGCAATGATGGTGAAAGGAGGAGATCTGGAAGACTTTCGGTAAAGAAGACGGTCGTTGCCTAGTGATATTAGTATTATTCTTCCCTGTCTGTGTAGCCACTTGAACAAACCTGCTGCGCTGTTTGAATGCTTAAAATACTAGAGCCAAAATTCGAAAGCATCTGCTCTAGTAAAGACATATCACTTGACCTGCCTGTTTCTTTGTCAGTTTCCTCTTGTGGGACTAGAAAGATCAAAATACACACCCTTTTCGCTCACCACCGCCGAAATACACTGCAACAAAACGTCGACATTACTAGCTTTTACGATCTCAGCCACTTGATTCTCCTCCTTAGTCTTTTTGAGAATCTCTGCGCTCAAATCTACCCATTTTTGACCCATGCCATCGGTATCTCCTTTGGCGATGCGCTCAAGTAGCAAATTTTCCACCTTATTCCATACACCTTCTCTCATAAGATGTACAATTCGCTCGTCATGCACACCAGCCATTGCTACTCCACTAGCGCATATACTCGCCGCATAATATTGAATCTTCATCCTCTCTGCTTCGTCCGTATTTCCAAGCATATAGTTATAGTATATGGGCCACATCGACTCCTCAATGATTTTAGCAGCCTCATCTGCATCCCCTCCCTCTAAAGCGAGGATATGGTAGATAACACTAAAGTAGGCTCCCCAAGCTGATATCAAATGAGTCCTTGGTTCCGGCCCATTGCAGATACCATCCACAAATCCCACCAATAGCTCCCGAATACCATCAAGTGATTTCGGAAGAATTTCTCGTGGTATTACAGAAATCAAGTCCACGAGTTTTCTCCAATACTCCTGACCCGCAGACTGGGATCCAGTTTTTACAAACTTTATCAGCATTCCAATTGGAGTCCGCTTCTTTGACGGTTTTAAGACTGCCCATGAAGTAGGGAGTGAGGACGTTAATGATATAAGGGCATCTAGATAATCAATTACGGAGCCAATTTGACTTTTGGCAAGAGATTTTGTAATGATTGCCTCTGAAACGATGGGAAGGGTTTCTGGAGAGGAAATGATTGAGGGGATGAAAGTTAGTGTGAGTGTGAGAAATCTGTATAATGCCTTTCGAAGGTAAGGGTCCGAATGGTAGGAGAATGACCATAGATAAGGTTCAGAAATGACTGCAGAATATGAGTCGTGCTGTTTTTTCAATTCGGCTTCCGGCAGGGTTGCTATATTCCTGTTAGCTATGATCATGGATCACTAGTACAACGGGAAAGAGCTTACAAATGAGGTGACCAAGAGCTAAAACACTCGTCGCGATAACTCTCGCAAATTTGTTCTGCGCATCATCTGGTGACACCTGCCTCTCATCGCTCAAAGTGTCAACAGTCTCATGTAGAACCACGTTCGTGCAGTATTTCACAATATCTGCCTGATACGCCTTCCACACCTTCGCAATCTTTTCCTCGGATGAAAATACAAGCTTCAGCGCATCATTTGCAGCTTTTGATGTAGCCCGATCATTATCGTACAACCCGGCAAGCCAAACTCCAATCACTCGAGGCATATATTCCGCGATTCTTTTCCCAGCACGCTGTGAAATAAGACCGTGAACAGTGTGTGAGAGGGCCCGTACTCGTCGAGAAGTATCGGTCGAAAGTCGGGGGTATAGTAAGACCTATAAGTAACAGGACAGAACAATTCAGCACTATTTTCATGAATCAAAATATATATACGCACCCAGGCTGCGATAATAGCGTCCTCAATATCTGTCACCGCTTGTAGATCTTCCAGGGCTTTCGCCTTCGTCGTATCATCTTTTTTTGACAAATTCTTAAATAATACCACAACGCTTGAATCGCTGATTCCTTTAAGGTCTGGTGGCGGTGTGACATAGGACAGTTGCGATGCTGAGGCCGATGAGAATGTTGATGCTGTGTCGAATCCACCGAACCCACCGAATCCCCCCACCCCCGAAGATGTGGAAGGTGTGAATGCTTTGCTGCTGCGGGCGGACTGTTTTTTGCTCATTTTGCGTATACTTAATTAGAGTAATGTAGCGCTTTTCGGGTGGTAATATACAGGACCAAAGTGATCGGGGTCCTTTTTGTTTCTATGCGAGACTCCTCCGTTTGCGTGAGAAATGACGCACCGTCCAGCGTATTCATAGGAGTTGTTGTAACTACATTAAGGCCTGCCCTACAGGGTATTTGCCCTGCTACATATGAGCCTCATCCCCGCAGCACCGCTTATATAATAAACAGCATGTGAATCATACTATGGAAAGGCTGATGATACATGTATTTTCTATTTACTTAAAACAGAACTCTGAATATTTGCGCCAAGACTAGAGGGATTGGCATTTACACTCATTTGCCCTCATCAGGGATTGCGTGCCAAGTCCCAAAACGAAAATAATAGGAAGTCATGTGTCTTTTGTGCCTTTTGAACATGCTGTCTGAATCTTAGAACCCTAACCCTGTATCTGGTACAGCGGTGGGTAATAAGTGATCAGACAGAACGCCACCAAAATACGCGTTTTCAGGCAAAATTGTGGCTAGGCCGTCCGATGACTTGATACCCACCGCTGTACAACATGTACATCATCTTTACAAGGTGTCCTCTGACTCCTTTCAGCCCACATGTCTGGAACATCACGTTGTCATGAACCACGAACCACAGTGTCCACATCCTGATGAGGCGGGAGGCTGACTGCAGATGGCACTAGCAGGTAGCTCCTGGTATCTTCAGGCACAAATTTGACATGCTTTCCTTCGGGCTTGCAATAATATCATTCATTAGTCATGATAGCAAAGGTCCACAGCGTAATAGATATGACCTGGATCAACAAGGGTCAAGAAAATTTTCATGTAATGCATCAGATCAAGATTGATAAACTGCTCGATTGCATTTTGCATTCCGAATTCATCAACGCGGTATCAAGAACTGAAGCTAGGTGAACAAATTTCGATGAAAAGACAACACATAAGACAGTAGACAACACCACCCAAACCGAATAAGGAAGCATACTGATAACTGAATCCGAAAAAAGTAGTTACAACATTCGCAGATAAGAGCAAAACTAAGAAAAGAAATGATACGCAGTAAATATAGCGAAAGCATTAACTTCATGACCACCCCGACTCTCTGTTGGTTCTTACACTGAAACGTAATAGCATAAATTGGTTAAAAAGAAACACAAAATGAAGCCCCTTATACCGTATTTTTTTTGTTAACACCCTATCCCAATCCCAGCATTATTCCTCTCTCTCCAGTATTTACTGCCTCGATGGATTAAGACAAATAAATCTGATGACCTAGCCGAACGTTCTCCTAGACCTAAGCAAGGATAGGCTGCTCCGGTCTGTATTCGTCTTGTACTTTGGTATTGAATCCATTGGCGCCGTTGGCGCCATTGAGATCGTTGTGACCGTTGACGCCATTAAGGCCGTTATGACCGTTGGCAGCCGGATCATGTACAGGGACAGAAGGGAATTCCTTCTTATCGGCAGTTGAGGTTGTTGAGGGTTTAGATGTAGCAGCGGGAGACGAGCCACGAACGTTTTGGGCATATCCTTGAGCTTTTTGCGAAAGGTCGACAGCAGTAGAGCGAGCGCGGGCAGCAGCTTCTCCGGCGTATTTTACGGTAAGTTCGCGCCCAGTATTGAGCTGTTCATTAACTAGTTCATTTCCTTGGCGGATCTTCTCGTCGATAAATTCCTGGTTTTGAAGGTAGATCAAAGGGGCAGTGAATGCAGTGATGGTGGCTAGTGCAAAGAAAATTAGCTTGATTAAACTTAAGAAGAGCCAGGCAATCCTTACCAGTGAGCAATAGGGACCAGAATGGCATGTATTTAATAAGAAAGTATGCTGCGAATGTTGTCACAAATGCCTATAAACATTTTATCAGCAAACAATATTTTCCAAAGTAGATAATAAAAAAATGTTATACTCACGACAATTGTAGCAAAGATATTCTCTACAAAAATAACCCTTTGGAATTCAACAACGAAAAAGTTCAACAAGTCGTGGGCTTCGTTAAAGAGCTTTTCGATCGATTCTCTAGGGATAGTGTGGTATCGTCTAGGACGCATTGAAGATACAAGACCCTTGGCGCCAAAAGGCTTACCAGCTACTTCAAGAAGGGCAGCAGCTGTATTCGTCCCAAAGGTTAGTTTGATACTTAACTGAAACACAGAAATCATATCCCTGCAGCGGAATAAGCCCAAATGTGGAAGAGACAAAGCTTACAGGCAAAGAGCAGATAAGCTCCTTTGAAAACCCAGCGGAGCACATTAATGAACCGGAATGCAGTAATCATAGAGATGACTGAGAAGAAGAAGAAACCAGTGGCACGCGGATATTTCCACTTGTTAAAGGTCAGCTACAAATCATCTGTTGGGAGAGATAAGAACAGGATAGTGGTACGAACTGTAAAAAGATCAAAAAAGAAACTATGATAATGTGTCAAAGGTTGGTCTCCTTCATAATCATTCTCGACTGACGCTGAATTCGCAAGTCCTTGAAAGTCGGCCTTTGTCTTCTGGATAACGGTATTGGTTCCTGTAACATGTTAATACGAGATATGTCAAGAAATGAAAGAATCGAGAACTGTAGATAAAAAAGTATGATCAGTAAAAGTTAAAACCAGCGGGAAACCATTTGGATTAGTGGGGAAACATACCTAACCGTTCAAGACTTGTTGAGGAGCTGTCTCTTCTGATGATGAAGGCGAGGAGTAAGTTGGTGACTCCATTGTTCAGATGGTTTGAAACTACGGTTTGATTGGATCAGAAAGGTAAAAGAGCAGGTATAACAAAGTTGCAATGGTGACTGAAATCCTCAGATATAGTGAATTGTGATGAAGGTGTAAGTGTGAAGAGAAGGAGATGGGAAGGGAGGAAGGGTAGCTATGGTTTTTTTGAATCCCGAGGGCTTCCTCCGTGTCGTGTGCGCCTGCAGGGGAGCCACCAGATAAAAAGTCTCGCATCCCTCCCATTACGTCGTGGCTGGAGCCTGTTATCAGCGGCAAAGCGTTCCTCCGCAGAACTGAACCTGTGGCACAGTCACTCAGCCGGACGGCCCGGGCACTCCAAGGAACAGAGCAAGCCTATGCGCATACGTCAGACTATCGCATGTGAATGTGATGGGCTGGAACGTGTTGCAACCAGTCACGAACAGATCCAAGGCCAGAACGCTGATCCCCGTCTTCAAAATGGCACATTTGCATGCTGCGGCATCTCTCCTGCGACAAACTGTTAAATTCCTTGCTCTGCTCATGCGGGAAGGTCATTGGAATTTCAAGGATAGAAGACGAGCTTGTTACAACATCCCACTAGCCACAATAGCCGTCACCGTGAAGTCATTTCACGGATCACGCCACATGGATAACAAACCGCGAAAATCAATTTTTTGTTTCACGACTTTGTCAACTTATGGGTGCAGTCCGCATCTGTAAAGAAGTCTCATAATTTACACGCTGATTGCTATTCTGGTTGGCTACACGATTGTGTTTACAACATTGAACATGGGCGGATGTCGGGCGAGGAACTCAAAACGTACAACTGATAGGCCTCATCGCCGTCGACGTTAATTTACATGGAACTTTCTGGAAACAAGCCCCCTGGGCACCCTGGGCACCCTGATAATGGTGCAAAAAATAGAACATTATCGTAATTGCATTGAACAAGACTCATTGTACCAAAACAGAAAGCAAGGAAACAATCAAAACACTACGAAATCAACTGCTGACTAGCCCTAAATGTGTTCAGTTCTTCCTCCGTCAACTCTCTCAGCCTATTCGTGCTTGCAGCATTTCCGGTAATGGTGCCTTTAGCGATCTCAATACCCCGTGAAATAGCGGTTCCTTTCTGAATCGCATACGTCGCTGTCTTCGCGTGGACCTTGATAACAGCCAAACGAGGGTCATCAGGGCCTCCGTTGTGAACCCCGTCGCCAAGATCTCCAACCCAAGCTTTGAGGGTAGGGGTATAGTACCTAATAAGAGTTATTAGTTAAGCTCTAGTATAGTTACCAGTTTTGAACTTACTGCTTCACTTTCTCTTTGTGGTTGTCAATATCCGCGATTCCGCTAATGGAAGCCCATTCACCCTAAATAAAAACACCCACTCATCAGCTTTTACTCTCTTTTAAAGGATAACTAATTCAATGCCGTACTGTTGAACTCTTGATAAACCCTAAGTTTACGTGAGGATCAGTTGCCAATTCGTCAGTCTTCCCGCTCTCGGTGTTTGTGTGGAATAGGAAATCGATTCCATCCTCCTGCAGTTAATTGTTTCAGTTAGCATCCGTTTTCGCACAATGAAGAAGAGCCCCCAATCACAACTCGATCCATGATTAGCCCTTAAATGCAAGGAATGGATCATACCCTCGCAGCCACTGCCATACACCTACTAACCAAATACCCTGAATCCCTCTGTCGAGTCGTCATCAATCCAAACTTCAATCCCTCTACAAACTCCACCAAATCCTGCACCTTGTCCTTCAGCGGGCACTCATTATCCAAGTTCTTCTCCTTATAAGGATCTGAGTGTTTTGTCCCGGTCTGCGTGTACGTCCCGCCAGTGTTGTTCGGGTGTGCGCTCGACATTTTCAATGATGTGTGATAATATCTTGGTTTAACAAGAAATTCTGGATGTGAAGTTACTATTCTTCTGCTGATATTGCCGTGAACTTTTGTGGTTGCTCGAATAACGATCCGGGGTAAACTAAGAGGCGGAATCGAAGCCATATATACGCCGGTTGGTAACAATTCAATTCAGGATTTCTTTGACGAGAGGATCAAGTTGGATCGACGGTGCATGGCATACCCTTATTGCATGCCATAATCAACCGATTTGTGGGGGATCTACCGCCTTACAATTCGTCAACATTCCATCATGGAGTGTGCCCCGTTATCCATACATACGACTCTGGACTTTATCCTCAGGGTTAGGTTATGACGTGATTCGGTGCATGTCTTGGCTATGACGGCAATGATTCAGAGCCTCAGATGCCTGGCACTTGGTCAATGATCGACTATAAAGCCCGGTAACCCTGGGGTATTTTTACTGTGATCGCTCGATAAGTAGATCTTAGAATACTGATTAAACCCGGTAGATATCTGTCCGGGGATCGATGAAACATCGGCGAGTGATATCCTATGATTGGTACAACTGAAACTTGACAGGGAAAACCACTTGCAATCTCTGGCGATCATTAACTAGGGCGAAGGCCTCGTGCTCAGTGCTCACTAGGTACAAGAATATCAGAGGTCAATATCGTGATTGGTTCCTGATTGTCTCACTTCCACAGCGCTGTTTCTAATGATCGACTATATTTCCCCAAAATATGAACTCAAAGAACCCACCTTGGGTTGGAAAAAACATTATTCTTACGAGACTGGCTTTAGACATAGAATAAAAAATTTGGCGGTCTGTATGTTTCAAGACCCAATTGGTAGTCACGCCTTTCGGCCAATCAGAGGAAAGCATGACCCGTGAGATAGGGTAGGTGGCCGCGACCGGTGGTCACATTGCACGGTGGTTGAACATAACCCAGTATCAAGAGTAGATATCTAGAAAACTCTCATTACACTGCAGCAGGGGTATTACCAAACCCTGCAGCGTTGGCGTTCAAAGACATCTTCTGGTTGGTCCGATCTGTATTGATGTGCAACGATCGAACTTCCTGGAGAAAATACCTACAGCTACATAGCTAGCAATCTTTTGAAAAGATATACTCTATATCACCGCTTAAGAGTAATGGTTTTTGTATCTGCCCATACATTTTATGCTACCTGTATTTAATTTAGTCTTCCAATGTAGTTTTAGATTGTCTTTCTGAGCGAGAGGAGATATTTTGGTAATTATGTCGTTTCGAACGGCTGAAAGCTGAGGTTCATTAGCCTCGTGGAGACACGATGCGATATAGATTTGTGGAATGATACTCTGGAAATCATTTTGCGTGTCATTTGACCTTGGCATTAGTACATGCATGTGTGGAAAGGCCTCTCTACAAGTGACATAACTAAATGTTTCGCAACATAGCAAACCGTCACCTAGGAGGATTCGATCCCTTATACGTCGAGTAGAATACGTGTACTCTATTTGGGTCGAATACTCATCTACCCACTAAATGTATTCCGGGGATGTCCAGTCAAAAGGTATTGATCATACCATTAATAGATATTGAGCTCGTATTTTCTCTCAGGTCACACAAGACGTTGATAGAGATTGGGGCGTCATTTACGCCACCATCTGCCGACGAATTAAACAACTTACGAGAAAACCTTGATAGGCAGTGAACACCTAAACACTATTTTGGGAACAAACGTCAACACCAATCAAGCCACATCTACTTTAGTGATGGGAAACCAGCTGTCAGTCAGGCCCTATATAAAATCCCCATTGATCGGCTCTCCCTTGAAAAAAGATTCTGCACGAGGTCGATATATATCAGTATCTCTATTCTTGATTATCATTATTTCTACCTGCAAGAAAATATATAATCAACCATGTTAAGTCCCATCACCTTTGTCACCCACGTCCTCCTTCTCGGTATCTGTACCGCATACACCCCCGAGCTAATCAGCTACGCCGATGCCGTCGCCAGCAACACGGCTATCTTTCCCCCAACTCTACTCTTACTTTCCCATCCATTCGCCGAGATTGCGCCCCCAACCGCCGGCGACGTCAACCTCACCTTCGGCAGGGAGAAAACCCCACCAGCTGCTTCTTCCGCCGAGCTTGCCCGCGGCCGGATATATGATACCGCTGCAGTCCCTAATATTGAGGGTGAGCTGGAGTGTATAACCAGGGGTGAAGATATAACCTTTTACTTGTGGTCGGTGATCAAGATTCTGCAAGAGAGCGGGGATAAGTGGTGCTGTCAGACCCGTGATGATGGGAAGAGCTTTGCGACATATGCAAGGGCTACTGTGGGCCTGGAGGGGATGCACGGTATGTGCGCCAGGTGCTATGATGTGGGATTTGCGGCGGACGAGATAATGAAGAGGTGCGGTAAAGTGGAGGGAGGGGGGTTTGAGTTTTTGGGTAATGACACAAAGGTGCTTGTTTATCATTCGAGGCTTAGGGATTTAAGCTAGATGTGAACTATTTTTAAGTATGGACTGCTTCTCTGTTGTTGAGTACATGTATTTATAACGCCTTATGCATTCCTTTTCTTATGTCTTGTTTATGACGGTTTTTAGAGTAGATAGACACATCTTACTCCAATCAAAGGCTATTATTGTCCTTTCATTTACTACCTTGGCTTTATCCTTTTGATTCTTAGACTTCCCCAAGGACAATTTGAGGCATTGTTGGCCCAAATAGCGCGCGGAATGTTCGCACCCAAATTCTTGACATACTTTCACTACACTCGTATCTCGCTATAAGGATTTTGTCTATTATAATATCCTACTACAATTATATCAAAAAGGTTTATATATGGACAGATCACTGCTATAGCTAGTGACACCAAGTGTCATTGAGGCTAGAACGGCTTGGCATTAAGTTTTGATGCATTCTGATCATTTCCCTAGATGCCTTTTCTCAATGCCACTCCTCCCCCAATTTAATTAACACCGCTCCTCATGTCGAGAGAATAACTAATAAAAAGCGGTAATTAATATTACATGAAAACAAAACAAAAACATCCTACCCGAGAACCAGGTCCGGCGGTTGCTCCTACCTGTACTCCTGGTTTCAACCCAGGGCCCTTTGGTGGCCAGGGATCAAATACTCGGTGTCTAATCTACAATGACATCGAGTAGCCTACAGTTAGGCTACTCGTCCATATTCTCCATTATCCAAAAATGGTACCCGAGGAGCCCACGTCAGGAATAACCAGGCACCTGGATAAACAAGCTTTTAATTTTCATAATCCTTTAAGCTGCTTAAAGCACTTAAATGCTGCCAACATGCATATGCATATATGAGACACGGTAACATCAGACGAACTTTACATGCACATAAGCCACATAATACTTGGCAAAGTGGTAGCTTTAATAGTCTAAGGAATAGGACCGACTCTCCATCTGGCCTGATATATCTCAACTAGAATCGTTCTTTCAACTCAACTTCCATCGTTCTATAGTGGGCAGCTGGCACCAACAATAGATGATACCCTAGAGGACAAAGTACTGGATAACTCATCCCCGGAGGCAGGATACTGTTTTCATCTCCGAAGTGGGATATGATATCCTCCTGTAGAGAGATGCCCAATCCTCTCAGATAGGATGTGATATCTTAACTATTGGGTACTACCCGTCGATTTGCTGGATAAGTTATCCTTTTTTACCGGAATATGATAAGATATCCCCAGTTAAGGAGCGATATTTCATGGGGGTGGGGATGTTCTGACTGGTAGGGGATACCTTACCCTTCGTAGGGGATATCATCAAGAACCTAGATTTAAAAAATATACAGGGGAATCGAACTTAGGCATTGGCGATTGGATCTAGCAGATGTTACCAACTATGATAGTGGTTTAGATACAAAACTAGTACAAATTGCCAATATCAACCTTAGTTTTAAAACTCCGAGTCGACAGCCAAAAAAAAAAAACCGAATTTGCCAGTGTCTAAGTCCAAAATTGCTAGGGATGCGAAATACTACAAGCAGGAGAACTCTTTATTCTATGTGAAAATCCGTATCTTTATCAGAGGATATTAGATTATATCCACATGAAAGGATATATATATATACACGGGAAAAGATAAGCTATCCCCGAATACAGTATCCTATAGTAAAGATACTATATCCCTTTGTGGGGATAGTTTATCCAAATAAGAGCGAAATCTCCTATTTTAGCTACTTGATGCTTGGGGATCCCAAAACACCCAAATGACTCAAACTTATATCCCGACCCCCGGGATGTGCTATCCCGATTCCTAACAAAGTTGGTACCATAGGGGATATCCTTGCCTGGACCTTGTCAGAAATATGCACCCCACATTTATGCGTGCGCTAGGATAATAAATGGGCTACATGTAATAAAGCATGTCATAGGCCGATATGTCAGTCATCAGTTATCACTCGTCTTTATCCAGCCCTGAATGCCCTCCCATGCCACTTACTGTTACTATTACTACATGTACTAGCCTATTGATTGTATGCCCCCACACCACTTACATATTTGAATAGCTTCGATACCGGTTCCTCCCCCCTGTGTGGATGCCTTACTAGCAGCAACGTATCAATGAGATTACCTGTGTTCTCTCGTGAAAGTGCATGATGTAGTCACCTAAAACATCTCATTGCTACATGTTGTTGACGGTGACCCCGCCGGCCTTAGCCAGCCCTGTGTAGAGCTAAACCCTAGTTCCCGGTATAGAAGTTTCCAGAACCCGTTTTTAGGAGTACGTTTACCAGGCTCATCCACGCAAACGAAACCGATCCACAATCACCCATAACAACATTGGCCGACCTCACCAAACGTCACGTCGAACGGCTGCTCCTGTAACCTCCAATCCACAGCAAGGACACATATATCCTGTGCCCCTTCCGCCCCACCCGATCTCCGCTGAGAGGGAAAAAAAGTCCCAGGTACAGGGAAGACCGCTATATAACGTTAACCCCTGCGTTGTATCAATTTCCTCGGAGCCGG